TTATGCACACGTTGACTTTTTATTTTAGAATGGTCGCAGAAGCAGCAGAGGGCAAATCAAAGCATCATCACTTACGTGGAAAGACCCGAAGAGAAGGTAACACAACGCCTGAGATGTCACTGAATGAAGGCGAGCATCCGATGAAAGAACAGGCTGAGGGAGACTCGGGAACACGTAAACATCAGTAGCGCTGAGACAGCCGGGGTTCGGGGTGTGGCGTGCACGATCGGATCGGATCTTAGGACAGGACTGCTTTTGATTTTTATGACTATTCTTTCAATCTTTCTGTGATGATGCTCTGCATATAAAGTACATACGTGGTGCGGTGGTTACCTATATCATGCTAAACATACACTCATGAGCTCTCCATTATGGATTGTATCACATGCTGGCCTCAAAGGCCTCTTGTACCTGACATATTAAACGTTGAGCACGAATGGAGATGAACTGATAGGTAACACGCATACCCGGATGAAAAAAACATTGTCTTCCAGGACACGGAAGCCGGTACACGCCAGGGCCTTGGTGGTAAGCATACACGCTTTGTGGGCTTCCGTGGTTCGCGCAGAATCAGTGAATGCTGGCGAATGGTTTCCCCCATTGGGCCGCGTAGGGATGGCTTTAGTGCACGGTCAGATAAGTGTAGAGATAGTCGCGCCACAACATACCAAAAGCTGGATGTAGCGAGGGCAAGACTAAAAATACAATCAGTAACAAATTTGCCATTAGAAGAAATGGCATTTGCCGTATGAAACATTGCCCTAGTAGGTAATAAATCAAGTTGGGAATATTTAATAATAAATATGCACACATACGAAATCTGTAGATGCCCCTGAAGGATATTGCCCGACGTTCATGCCATACTCTTGACATATCGTGTGAGAGAAGGCACCCGCTGTATAACTAGTATAAATTATATTGATTAATCAAAAACATCTTAGAAGGCGACTTACCAAGGATGCTATTCTGCCGTAAGTCGTAATAGGGCGTGTTCTTTGTAATCTTCAGACGGCAGGAAGTTGCCAGCGCCGCACCCCTGTGAACCTTGTAAGTTCCCGTGCACCATACAGATCATGATACAGGCTGACTCAAAACAGGCGCAGACTCTTTCCGTCAGTCGCGTTAACTGGTCTCGTGTCGGCGCTCGGACATACCACCTCATTTTGGCGTAGTCTGGGATTACTGTAAAAGGCTTGTTGGGTTATCTATCTCCAGTGATAGTAGCTGTTAGACTGTACCATTCGCAGCTCTCTCACTCCCGTTTATCACACCATTGACTCTGTGGTCAGGTCTGATCTGCTGTCGTAACACGGAGACGCTGGAGTATGCTAAAAACGCAGCATCAAGTGCATTGGCACCTTCCCATGGAGCATTGCCAGCATGAGCGCTGTTTCGGATCAACTCATGAGACCATATACGAACCACAAGACCCACGATTGCCCAAAGAATTCGGCATCTATAGATTGCATCGCCAACGAAGACACCACAAACGAAGATAGCTCGGGCCCAGGGGAAGGATGACACCTGTATTGGCCACGCATGTATCAGTGATGTTCCGAATGCATGTAGCGGGACACACGGACATTAAACAAGCATCCATCCCTTTGTAGGCTCCTCGCTCAAGCAGGATAATCTTTCCTCCACCGCCTTCTTCAGCTGAACCAGAATTTAGTATTTCATGTCGGCCCGAATTCAAACTGGTTACCTGGGGTTCCTAGAAGAACGACAGTACCAGGAACGTTGTAGGTTTCCAATGCGGATTTTATGGCTAATGCCACACCTACCCCACTGATTGCAATGAGGTTGTGGCCACATGCATGCCCAATCTCAGGTAAGGCATCCATCTCCGAATTAATCCCAAGGGTTCTGCCTCCCTGTCCGTGGGTATATTCAGCCTTCCAAGCAGTCTTGAGGCCGAGATAATGCCTCGTCACAGAAAACCCATGACTTTCCATGTAATCAGACAGAAGTCTGTGAGCAAATCTGTGAAAGTTCCATCAGTAACATGCGCAAGGGATACACGTGCTGCAGACATTTCTTCAAACATCAATTCTGGGTGGCCTGTGTATCCCAGTCAGAGGTATAAACGAGACCAGAGCTGAGGAGCTTACTATGAATCAGGAGACTGAGCGATCGTAGGGAAGAATCGAGTGTGTCGATCACAGTTTCTATTGTGTGCCGTATTTCTCCACGTATAGAATCATTAGAAGAAGGCAGGTCTGAATAAACGGGAGGAGCCTCCCACTGGGATACTGCAGTATCGAATCTGCTTCCAAAGTCACAGCACGTATCATAAAACACGCGAGAGGTCAGATCAGTCTATGGAACGGTAAAGGGTAAGTTTACACACAAAATGATGCAACGACAAAACATACGATCTTAGCATCTCTTTCTGAATCAGATGCCTTTCGCGTCTGATCACATATATGGGATGAGTTTGCTTGTGTACTAGAATTCTTAGATACGCGTTGAGGTTTAAACTTGAACAAGCGTCTTAGGGAAAGGCACCCGCTATGGTGATTGACATCAGAGGCGTCTAACGACATCAGATGGACAGCGATAAAGTGGTAGCGAAAAGTGGGGTGGGGGATCACTAAACGGGGTCCTTGGTAACATGAGTTTATCAACTATTCGGCGCTTGACACCTGGTGCATATCGAACGCGGAATGAAGTGTGATCCATACTCCGGTACCATCGGAGTTAGGTAAGTCTACGCGTACGATTGCTCACGTTCATCTGTGATAGAAGATTGATACTTCGTGTGTATCTATACAATCTCAAGAACCTGGTCGTGAGGTCAATGAGGTTGTGTGAGATCCTGTAAAGAACTTCCCGTACTTTCACCACCGCGGAAAAAGGAACCTATTCTTCTCCAAGTGTTATCCTCTCGCTGTGGTGTTGGCATGCTATCTCGTCCGCTCAAGCCTAGGACAATCCTTCCGTGGCGTGAGGAGAGAAGACAGTGATCCATGGATTCACTCCCTTCCGAAGTAGTTGGAGTATTGTCGCCGATGAGTAACAACGTTTTCTTCTTCTTCTCGCTCGTGCTGCGGATGCTGCTAGACAGTCCTGGAAGAATGTCATAGCCGTCCAATTTGCTACTGCGTATCTGCACGTGCCCGCAAAAAGTTGGGGGAAGCAGTATTACCATCTTGCCTGATAAATGTAAAGTGTCAGTACAAATTAAATAAGTATGACGCAGAAGAAGAGCTAAGCAGTAGTGTCACATTTTGACGCCTGACGTAGAAGAGACAGATTAGGCGTAGTAGAAACGAGATTTTCCATGGTTTCCCATGTGAAATCCGAAGAGCACGGCTCTCATGTCATCGGACCTTCCGTGGGCGCCAACTTGTACTGCCAGTCTGAGCACCATCCGTTTCAACTCACCTCTTCGGGAAGTGACCTTTAGCGTGATGCGTTTACCAGGGTGTACAGAACTCTATTTTCAACAACATAAGACTCAACGTATGGGGATGAAATTTAGAATTCTTACTCACCAAGTTAACGGCAATATCCCCATGGCGTGTCGAAACGTCAATTATGGCCCGACGGCATTGTTCTGACGATCCTTTGGTGGCTAGAGTTAGAAAGATGGACCCGAAATGATTGCGAAAAACGGCATGCGGCGCTGCAGCGAGGAAGTCGGCTGCTTTCCTTAGCCCTACTAGGTCACTGTGCCTGGCTGCAAAGCCTTGTAGAGCGGACGATTCGTCTCCTGACTCATCAGGGTCGATGATGTACGTGCCTGCATGCCGGGTGGGCCAAACTTCCTTAGAACCAAATAAAACACGACATAAATGGTGCTCGCAGCTCACCGGATATCAACTCATGGTGCTTTTCCAGCCGAACGGTCTTCACTGTGAGCGCATTGGCGAGCTCTATCGTGTCAGCCGACGCTACGACCGTAGAACCTGACTCCAAGCTATACGGCGGAGGGTCGTGATCTGGAATATGGGATGGAGACTCGTAGGGTTCCTCATCGTCTTGAATAAGCATAGCGGTGTGTAACTGCGGTTCTTCCTTGCTCTGCAGTATCATCTTGATAGCGGTGCATTCAATACTTGTTAGAACTCATCAGTAGCCCATTTAACATCACCACAGGAGGTGGACCCCGAGCACAAGCATGAACTGCGCATAAACTGCGCAGCTGCGGATACTGACAGTCACGGGTCAAGCTTAATTATCCACGCCGCTTGATAGGCTGGGGCAGGCTATTCTAGACCTTGGACTATTCTGCACTATCTATCTATACAATATATAAGTACGAAACGTTTGATCCCGCGGAACCAAATTGATTCGCGTGACTCTCCTGTCTGTGCTCCACCTGTGCTCGTGCTAAGCTCCACCTGTCCTCTCTAGCGCCATGTGCGCTTGACGTCTATCGATCATTGTCCTCCTAACTACATACTCCTGTGCTGAGCTCCACCTGTGCCTGCTTATGCCACCACATTCAACGGATGAGTCAAGGATTCACACTTGAGAATGCGGTACTGGACCTCCGTACAGATTCGTTCGCGCACAGACAGCTTTATACTGCGCTATCCAGAGTGCGATGTCGGCGTGGCATTCGCGCGCTATTTCCTTCAGAGGGTGAGGAGAAGACAACGGCGAACGTAGTATACAGACAACTGTTATTGTAATTGATTGTAAAACAGACGCGACGTCCGAAGGCGACCGGTCCGCTTGTACTATAAGTATACTAGTAGAGTTTGACAGTCCTGGAACAACATGGACTCAGTTCAGAGAGAACAACCCTGAGTAGTGACTCCTGAAGGCCTGACTCCTGACAGTCGTGGAGTCCGGGGACTCAAGTGAGCCTGAGTTCGGGAATCAGCTAATCACGCCCAGGAGTAAGAACAATTGTTTTCGGTCAATTTGCATCGATGAGCGGTTGGCCCAGATGCTGAAGTTTGAAGGGGGTCGGATATCCTCGAAATCGAAATATTCTGGACAGTTTCTTATGTACTGGGTTTCACTTCCCAGATGGCGTCAAAAAAACAGGGCCTGGCCGGGAATTGAACCCGGGACCTCCTCGAAATTAACGAACACCCTAACAAGGAATCATACTACTAGACCACCAGGCCGTGATGCTTGGATGGTGGATGGACCAGCTTTGGTAAATATTGGCAATTGGTCATCGAATAGCTGAACTTTGAAGCTGAAGTACTGAAGTCTCTTTACGTTTCAAGAATTAGGCGCCATAGACAGATGAAACCAACCGTTCCTCCGATATGCGTTACCATGGTCAAGAATCATTAATCAAGAATGAATGTAACGTTGATCAATCGCTAAGTCTATGGTGGACAATCTTTAGAATTCAATAGACGTAAACAGGACGGATCAGGTTCTAGGTTTGCCGTAAATAGTCTTCCCTCTTCAAGTGTCCCCACAGCGTGTTGCGATCCTGTAGTCGGACTGCAGGTGCAACAGTAGAACATTTAGGACGCTGGCGACGATAAGTATGACGTCAGTAACTCAGTATGCCCACACGGATCACCTCGGGCAGATCTTCCAAGGCCTGCGGAGCGCTGCCCACGATGCTCGATTGCAAGCTGCAACAGAATTGCGTCGCTATGTGCGTTCGTCATTCATGCGTGCGAGTCACTTCTCATGATTCAGCAGGTTGCAATGACTGTCGCAGAAATGCCATCTGATGCTGTAGCAAAACTTTGGGATGATGACATCAACAAACGCTTGTTCGACCTTATGCACAGTCAGAATAATGTAGATAGATTAGGCGGACTTCTGGCCATAGGTGCGTCTAAACGTCACGGTATCATGGTTGTATAGCTCATGCCACTTAGATCACCTCCTTGAAAGTGAAGGAGAGGACACTATTGGTTCAAAGAAGTACCTCTTTCGGTTTTACAACTACGTCAAGCAGCTACTACCAAATCACGATGTCAACATCATGCTGGCGGCATCCAAAACACTCGGCCAAATTGCTGCAATTGGTGGCGCCGACTTCGGAGAACGCTTTATGGATTTAGAGGTTCCAGCTGCAGTGGAACTGTTACAGGGTGACAAGCAGGAGTCTCCCCGCTATGCCGGAGTGCTTATCCTGAAGGAGCTCGCACGCAACAGTGCGATATATTTTCATTCACACATCAGCCTCGTATTTGACAAGATACTCATACCTCTTCGGGACTCTCGAAACATTGTCAGGGAGGGAGCTGCAGAGCTTCTTGCTGCATGTCTTGAGATTGTCACAACACGTGAACGGCAAACACGTACGACTTACCTCATGAAGATTCTTCAGGACGCGCAACTGGGACTCAAAATGTCACAACCTGAAGTCATCCATGGGTCTCTTCTCACATACCGAGAACTGTTGTTGCATGGCGATATGGCAAGTGTTTTCAGCACCGGCATCGCCTTTGAATGATATTTGTCTTCAGTTTATGAGAGAATCGTTTTTGGACACTGCGGAACAAATTCTCCGCTTCAAATCACATCGAGACGGTCTCGTTCGCAAGATGGTTATCACCCTAATCCCGACTCTCGCTGCCTACGAAACGCAAGTTTTCTCGGAACATCATCTGCACAAATCTATGGGACATCTACTAACTCAGCTGGAAAAGCCAAACGAGAGGTCCTTTGGTTCGCATCCCCTTATCAGTCAAAATGCTACATATTGATTTGTTTTGTCAGCATTCATCGCCATCGGTCACACTGCCACTGCCGTAGGAAGTGATATGAAACCTTTCCTCGATTCTATCATGGCTCAAATTAAGCTTGGTCTACAAGCCAGGGGGTACGTCTTATATAGACTATCGTATGCAGTCATCAGAACTCTTTCTACAGGAAGAAGAATGCTCCTTCTGAAGAACCTATTTTCCAATGCGTCGGAATGCTTGCTTCGGCTGTTGGTCCAAACCTCACAAAGCTTCTTCACGATCAACTTGATTTATTCTTTGCGTGCGGCCTGAGTGAGCCTCTTAGACAGGCGCTGATGGCCATTGCACGTAATATCCCTCCTTTGCTAAAGACTATTCAAGGTGCGTCAGTCAACACTGCACATGACATTCTTACTAAAACAAACACATACTCAGACCGTCTACTGGATCTACTTTCCATGATCTTATGTGGACAACCTTATAAAGCCATCGGAGCCCCATCTTCCCTTGTCAGGACTGACGTATCTGCGTTTACGAGAGACTTGAGCTCATCTCAGGTAGGTTCTTCAACACTTTTGTCGATCATACTAAGCACGACTCGCGAAGACAACTAGGAGCGGTAAGAGTCCTGAGCTCATCACACTTGCGTTGTCCACGCTTGGCACCTTTGACTTCAGCGGTAAGCTACCTGTTGCTATTCAATTTAGTGTACTCAACATGAGCAGGTCACATCTTGAACGAGTTTGTCCGCAATGCCGCGCTTCCTTATCTGGAAGACGACAATGCAGAGGTTCGACGTGCTGGTGCTCTCACTTGTTGCAGACTGTTCGTCAGGGACCCAATTTGCTACCAAGCGAGTAGTCACGCGATTGAAATAATCAGTGACGTTCTCGACAAACTGCTCACAGTAGGCATTGCAGACCCAGGTAAGTCCATTTGTTCCCCTACAGACTACCTAACATAATCAATATTACTTGAAGACCCTACCATTCGGCAAACTGTTCTATCCTCTCTTCATGAAAGGTTTGATAAGCACTTGGCGCAAGCGGAGAACGTCAGGTCAATCTTTATCGCCCTGAATGATGAGGTCTTCGAGAATCGTGTTACTACTGTCACTTTGATTGGACGTCTTGCCAAGCATAACCCTGCCTACGTCATGCCGTCCTTGCGTAAGGCTCTGATACAACTATTGACAGAGTTAGAATACTCGACTGTAATGTGCGTCCATTTATCCCCATAACCTAGATCGAGTCATGAGCATTTTAACAGGCGAAATCGCGAAGACTGCACCCGCCTTCTCACTCTCTTGGTGGGCGCGACTCAACGTCTCATAAAGCCATATGCACTCCCTATGCTCCGCGTCCTACTGCAGAAGGCGAATGACAGTAACCCGGCTGTAGCTGCAAATGTTCTCATGTGTCTCGGGGAACTGGCAGCTGTTGGCGGGGAAGATGTGGCTCCTCATATCCCGGAGCTCATGCAGGTCATCATCTCCAGACTCTCCGACCCGGCTCATGTCAAGCGTGATGCTGCTCTCCACACTCTTGGCCAGTTGTGCTCTAGCACCGGATATGTCATAACACCCTTGGTAGACTATCCTCAGTTACTTCCAATCTTGGGACGCATTCTGAGAAGCGAATCCGCTCCGCATGCACGCCGCGAGGTCGTAAGAGAAGTCGTCAAAGTTCTCGGTATCCTTGGAGCTCTAGATCCATATAGGCGAAAGGTTTGTCTGGTATGCACCTCTTCGCTTTGATTTACTGACATATCCTTAGGCGAGACCGGATGAGGAAGTCACGAATGAAACACCACTTCCTGCTGTCAATGCTGTCGCCATTTCTCAAACAGGGTCATTGACGGGTAGCGACGACTACTACCAGACCGTTGTGATCACGTCTCTTCTGGCTGTTTTGAAGGATCAGTCACTTAGCAATCACCACCACACCGTCATCGAAGCGATCATGAACATCTTCAGGACGCAAGGGTTGAAATGTGTGGCCTTCCTACCGCAGGTGCATCAGTTCTCTTGCTACTGCATGACCAAATGTCGGACTGACCCAAATGTTTTGAAAGATCATTCCTGCCTTTACTGCCGTGGCTCGCACCTCCACAGCCCGTTTGCAAGAATTTCACCTGCAGCAATTGGCTATCCTAGTCGGGATAATTAAGCAACATATCCGCAATTATATGCCAGAGGTCTTTAGCCTTGTGACGGAGCTTTGGGAGAACGCCTCCCTTCAGCTTCCCATAGTATCGTTGATTGAGGCGCTGGGGAAGGCTTTAGACGCCGAGTTCAAACCTTTTCTGCCAACTATCCTGCCTCATCTTCTGAAAGTTTTCGAAGGGGACCTCGAGAAGAAGATGACTACTCAGATTAAGATTTTCGATTCTTTCCTCACATTCGGGGCAAATATCGAGGAGTACCTTCACCTCGTCATCCCCGTTATTGTCAAATCCGCTGAACGACCTGATGCTACCACTCTGCTCCGCAAGAAAGCAATACAGACTATAGCTCATTTATCCCTCCGCGTCAATTTCTCTGACCACGCTTCTCGCATCGTCCACCCCTTGATCCGTGTGCTAGAGGGTAACAACAACGAGCTTCGACAGGCGGTGATGGACACCCTGTGCGCACTAGTTGTCCAACTCGGATCTGATTTTGCTATTTTCGTGCCCACTATCAACAAGGTGTGTATTATTAATCTATTCCTCCTTTTTGGATTATTGACAACAAGATAGTGCCTGCTCCGGAATCGTATACCTCATCCCAGGTATGAGAATTTGATATCGAAGCTGCTGAATGGGGAACGTCTACCACAGGAGCCAGGCACTCATGACTTGCTGTGCGTCTTTTTGGGTAACTTCATGAAGTTAGTTTCTGATGTCCCTTCAGCGAATCCAAGGCTGCAGAAATCTCCGTGCCTGCGGAAGCGGCTAAATTGACTGTAAACCAACAGCATTTGAAGCAAGCGTGGGACGTGTCCTCCGCGAGCACAAGGGAAGATTGGACAGAGTGGATGCACCGCCTTTCTGTAGAGTTGATGAAGGAATCTCCGTCGCACGCGCTTCGGGCTTGCATGAGCCTTGTCGATATTCACCCTCCTTTGGCGAAAGAACTGTTCAATGCAGCATTTATATCCTGCTGGACAGAACTCTATGATCAGTATCAAGTGAATCCATCTTGTACTCATAACCGATTCATGCTAACCGCTTAATTAGGAAGGCCTCGTGCGATCCATCGAATGCGCTATCACCTCCACCACTGCTCCGTCTGATCTCGTGCACCGACTGCTTAGCTTAGCTGAGTTCATGGAACATGAGGAGAAGCCACTCCCCATCGAACATCGCACTCTGGGAGAGTATGCCATGAGGTTCCATGCCTACGCGAAAGCTCTTCACTACAAGGAGCTCGAATTCTTTACTGAAACCTCCCCGAACATAATCGAAGCGTTGATCGGAATCAACAC